AGATAGATAGATAGATAGATAGATAGATAGATAGATGGAGGAAATCACAGGGATGGATGAGCAGTACTGGTTCAAGGTCAGAACTCCCCTCTGCCCAGGTATGTAATGACAGGAGACTCAAGTGCATTGCAGAACCTCTCTGAGCTCTACTTTTCCAATATGATAAGGGGAAATGGAGGTAATCATGCTCGTCTTTTTAGCTCAGGGATAATTACTTTACATTTATATGTGAAGTTAATAAACTGCAAGTTTTGGCTATCATTTTAGTCTTTCGCATCTAGACTTGCCCTATTAATGTTTGGCACATGACTTCCACAGTGTTAATGATCTCCAAGTGGAAGGTATAGGAAATCAGGCTGCATCTATACAGATCCCAACTGTATTTTGAAAAACTCAAGTCAGTTTTTTTATACTAAATACCTCATATGAGCTAGTTCTATTAGCGTCTTTCACAAAGCAAGGTAAAGAAAAATAATCAGGTAAATTGAGGTTTGCTTTACTGTGTTCAGGTTTAACTGAGCTGCTACTGTACAAAAAAGTCATTAATAGCATATTCTTTTAAAAATATATGGGCCAGGGATTTAGCTCAGTGGTTCCGCCACCTGCCTTGCAAGCACAAGGTCCAGAGTTCGATTCTCGGTACCAAAAAAAAAGTATTCAACCATGTTATGGTTTATATCTAGATGTCTCCCCAAAACATTATTCACTCATAAGTTGGGCTTTTGGGAGGTGAGTGGATCAGGGGTGTGTAATAGTGGATTAGTTCACTGATTAGTTCACTGATGGTTTACAGCTAGGGGTGTTGCCTAGGAGGATGTATATCCCTTCTTCTCCCTTGATTGCTCTTCTGCTTCTTGCGTACCATGCCATAGACTGTTTCTCCTCTACATGCCCCTCTGCCATGCAGCCCTGCCTTGCAGCCAGCTGACTATGAACTGAAACCTGTACAAACTGTAAGCCAAATAAACCTTTCCTCCTTTAAAGTTACGAGTGTTGAGTATTTTGTCCCAGGAATGAGAAGTAGCTAAGACAAACCAATATTGCCAAAGGACCCTGGGAGCAAATAGTTGTACAGAAACAAACATGGTTGCTTTCTCACAGAGCTGGCAATCTGGCACTCAAATACATCAAAAAGGCATAGGAAAACTGGGCATGTTGACATACACCTGTAGTCCCAGTTTACTCCAGAGGTTGATGGGGAAATTAGATCCCCACACACAAAGCAACAAATTGAAGAGTTCTATAAGTGTCTTTTTTTTTTTTTTGAGACTGGGACTTGCTGGTATTGCTCAGGTTGGCCTTGAGCTCCTGGGCTCAAGCAACACTCCCACCTCTACCTCCTGGGTAGCTGGGAGTACATGTATGCACCACCAGGCCTTGCTGCAAATGTCACTTTGGACAATAGTATCCAAATGTCATGACCTGCTTACTTCAATTTGAGATAACTAACACTTTAGGGAGCCTATGATGATTTAAAAGCCAGCACTTTGCTGAACACTTTCCATAGTTGGTTTTTAATCCTTGAAACAACTTTGTTTCTTTGGTACTGGGGATTGAACTCAGGACCTTGCACCTGCAAGGCAGGCACAGTGCCACTGAGCTAAATCCTTGGCCCTTCAGTCTGCATAGAAGGAAATTGCAATTTATAGAGGACACAGCCAAGGTTATAATAGGTGGCTACAAATAAACTAAAGCCAGTTCTTTTTTTTTTTTTTTTTTTGGTGCTTGGGATTGAACCCAGGTCCTTGCCATGCTAGGCAAGGGCTCTATCCATGAGCTACATTCCCCACCCCATTTTATCTTATTTTATTTTATTTTATTTTATTTTATTTTATTTTGAGACAGGGTCCTGCTGAGTTGCCCAGGCTGGGTTCAAATGTGTGATTCTCTTGCCTCAGCCTCCTGAGTGGTAGGATATGCTCTTTTCAGAACTGGGAATTTCATTTTCCTGCCCTTTTCCATGATGTGGGGATATGTGCACATGCTTTTCATTATATCAGAGGATGATGCTGAGAGAGGCTGATGTTAACCAAGAAGAACTGTACCAGACACTATTCTAAACTCTTTGTGTAGTGATGCATTTAATCTTCATAAAATGATAAGGAGTTGATCTTATTACTTAATTTTATCGATGAGAAATTGAGACACAGAGAAGTTAAGTAATTTGTCTGAGGAGACATATAGTTGAGGCAGAATTTAGATACAAGTTGCCTGGGTCCAGAGTTTAAAAATTAACATTTCATCCAGGAGAAACACTATTTTCAATATCTATCACAGTTTTCTAAAGTTGGTAAAATAAAAATCACAAGGATAGGAGGAAACCCCTTCTGTATTCACCACCTCCCAACTCCCGTGAGCTAAAGACACAATCCCATCCATAGTCTGTGTGAATATTTCCTTCTAGTGATATACAGTGTGAAACCTATACAACTGTACTCAGCAACCCTGAATTTCATCCACCATGACATAGTACATGGCAGAAAAATGCACCATGCTTACTAAATCTGAACTTTATGCCTCATTTTAGCTTCTGTTTCTAAATGCACATTTCCCATATATGAGAATTCTCTTAAAGGAGTAACAGCTCTCTTGAGGAACTGGAGAAAATGAGAAGCATTTTCCTTACCAGCTCAGGGCAAATGTTAGAAAAGTTAAAAAATTATTTTTAAATTCATCTAAAAAGGTTTTAGAGGGGCTGGGGATTTAGCTCAGTGGTTCTGCTGCCTGGCTCGCAAGTGCAAGGACCCATGTTCGAGCCCCAGTACCAAAAAAAAAAAGAAAAAGGTTTTAGATTTTCACTCCTACCAACTGTCTATTTGGGTAAATTGGACATAGACTCACTGACTGGGCACCAACCTCAGTGGTTCCTCTGGGGCCCAGGGATAGGAAGGAGGTGGCAGGAAGGGTGAGGGCATCAGGCTGGTGGTCCTGACCTCATTCACTAATGTCCTCTTCAAGAGAACTTTCCTTTTTGCATCACCAAGTTACCCCTGAAGATCTCTAAAGTAGCTGGGTATGGCAGTGCACTTCTGTAATTCTAGCACTTTGGGAGGCTGAGGCAGGAGGATCTCAAGGTGGCGCCTACCCTGGGCAGTTTAACAACTCATAGAGATCCTTTAATACAAAATTTAAAAAAGGGCTGGAGATGTAACTCAGTGCAAGGGCCAGCACCTCTCCCCCCCAAAAATCTCCAAAGCAGGCTGATGTCCTCTAACATAAACCTACTTCATGGCTATGAACCATTAAGGGTGCTTGATATTATGTTTCTCTTTTTTTTTTGGTATCGGAGATCGAACTGGGGTCCTTGAGCTTGCGCAGCAGGTGGCGAAACCACTGAGCTAAATCCCTGGCCCCAAGGATGCTTGATATTAATTAAAGTTAACTGTGTAATATATACCTACCAATATCCTACTTTCTTCCCATCTTTACTGCACCACAGGAAAGTTTCCATGGCAATTGTTTTGTATAAGCAAAAACCAAAATTAAATTAAGAGGTCACTTGCCAGTAGCAGAGACAAAATCAGGAAAACATTTTTCTAATTAGAAACTGCAAAGAAATTGAGGCTTGAACATAATAGCAAAATTAGGGTTTGGATGGTGGTATTCTTTCAACCAACTTTTCACAAATATTTCCTGGAACAGGCCCAGGAGTGAGTCCTAATTTAGCCTATTCTCTTTCAGATGGAAGTGAATTCACTTGTTTAGGTTGCTGCCTCACCTTTTCCCCCATGGCGTTTTGAGCTCTGGCCAGCTCTCACTGGGCACACAGTGCTGCTTGCCTGCAGACCATGCAGGGCCCCTCTTCTCCAGGGACCCTCTCCCCACAGAGATCTCCAAGGTGCTTAGTCTTTTCTTCCACAGCTACTGTCATCCCTGCCCCTGAGGCCTCCCTCCAGACCTTTGCTCTCAATCACAGTTACCTCCAGCAAGCTGAGTGATGCCCCTAGTCCTCTTGCTCACCTTGGCTGGGAGGAATGAGGGAGAGCAGATGTGAGAAAACATCTAGGGCCCTTGTCTGTGATTGCTCATGAATGCACTGGCCAATACTAAGGGACTGGAGAATCAAAAGTGAGAATGATCGCTTTGGTAGTTGAGGCTCCATAGACAGCATCAGATTGAAGTGAAGAGTCTCTTAGCATGCAGATGACCCCTTCTCCTTAGGCTACAATTCCCAGCACCCTTGGGTGCCCTCTTCATGTTCAGGGTGTCACCCCAGCAGGTTGGCTAGCTGACTTCATGATTTTACACATACTCACTCCTATGCCTATGGATGTTTAGACAGTCAGTGTCTCTCTTTTCTCCTCCCTCCATGCCATGGTGCTACAATGGAACCCAGAATCTCACACATGCTAGGCAAGTACTCTACTCTCCTTTCTTTTTAATGGAAGGCGTAGAGGTGTTTTTAAAGGAATTTGATTTAAAGATAAAAGCTTAAACCAAGACTTCCTTTCCTCTTTGGGGTTCTTTTTTCTTACCAACTGTCAGGCTAACATGGTCTGCAACATACACCTGCACACATGCATGCATGTGCAAACACACACACACACACACACACACACACACATAGCCCTGAAGGCAGCCCCAGCTCTGATACTCACATTTCACCCCTTTGGGAGCCTTCAGCACAGGAGTTCCACAGTCACCAGGCAATAGAGTTTGGGGAGAGGCCAGAGACTGGGGGGCCTATCTCCTCTTGCCAAGAGTGGTTCGTTAGCTTGGTTCTCAGCAGGAGTCAGAGTCTGCATGATTTCTGCCATAGCTTCCCAGAATCTAGTTGTCTTGTATCCAAGTGCAGTCTTCTACATGCAACAGGGAATGTGGGCTTTTTGAATCAGGCTTCTTAGAGAGGAGAGAAGGCAGCTGAGCGTGAAGGGTGTCAGCCGTGGTGGCTTCCCTGGGGGAACATGTGGGACCAAGCTGGGCTCTGAGCCAACTTCAGAAGTGGGTGAGTTCTCGAGGACTCTGCTTGCTTCTGACCAGTTTTTTGTCATTTTAGAGTAGGACCTTCATTACTGGTTTTGCCCTGGTTCTAGGGGATGTGCTAATTTTCATTCATTAATGTATTCCTTCAAAAGAAAGTCATTCTCATAGAAAAAGTTTTAGTTCTCACTGTCAACTGCTACAATTGAGTAGCATCATTCCCAGCTTATTGATGAAGAAAATCAAAGATTAAGCATGGCTAAATAATTTGTTCTCCAAGGTAAAGGGAAGCCACTAGGACTGGCAAGGGCAAGAAGTGTCTGCCTTCCTGATTAATTTTAAGTTCTTTTGCTTGGACTCTGTTCTCCAATGGGCAAGTGGTACTGAATCCCCAGCATGGAACCATTTCAGTCAGGTACTATTCACAGTGACTTGGTCCCTGCTGTCTTGGCTCTTACAGCCTGGTTTGCCACAGGAAGGGATGAGGCGGGGCTGAGTGGTATGAGTTTTAATGACTCATTGGTTCAAGAAATATTTCTTAAGCATTATGTGTAGACACTGGGAAAAGGAGAACAGATAGAGAAATAGTTGCAGCCTCCATTCTTTATAAGTTCAGTCTTGCAAGGGATCTCACTATTCAAAACATACAGTGGCTCCCTATTGCATCTGGGGTAGGATCCAAAGTCCTTGCATAGCCCACAAGGCTGCTGGAATCTTTGCCTTCTCTCCAGCTTAGCTCCAGCAACCCCGGGCTTCTTCATTCAGTTCCTCCATCAGGCTGCACTTCATTCCTCCCTTAGGCTCTTTGCACCCCTGGGATGGCTTCACACAAATGTCATTTGAACAGCTTCTTGAAAAATGAATAGATTTCTGTAGCTGAGTGTGGTGGCACAGGCCTACAATCCCAGGACTTTGTGGGGAGCTGAAGGAGGAAGATTGCAAATATGAGCCCCCAGCCTGGGCAGATTACATTCTGTCTCTAAATTACAAAAATAAATACATATATAAATAAAAATAAAAAGATCTGAGAGTGTAGACAGGAAGGTGGTGGAGGAGTTTAGGAATGGGGACACACTGATTTGCAGTAGCCGGGGAAGTGTCACAGAAAAGGCAAAACTGACTTTCCCTACTCTGATAGCAGAGCTGGGCTGGGAGGGCTGGAGGGGGCAAAGGGTGGCAGGCTGAGAGCACAGAGGCTGAAGGAGCACAGAAGCAAAGCTGTGGGAGCCCAGGTTCCCTGAGGATCCTGAGGGACTGAGAGATTGGAGGACGGAGGACAGAACATTTGATCTCCAGTTGCAGCCCAGTGACTTGCTTGGTAACTGGGGTCTGGTCACTTCTCTTCTCTGGGCCTCAGAATTTGTAAGGAAGTTGAAGTAGTTATCTCTCTTTCCTTTCTAGGCAAAATGTGCTCCTTGAGGTTCAGGTGATGACTGACAGGTGCAGACCTCTGCATGGAGGTGAGGAGGAACTTCCAGGAGGACAGAGAGAGCCTGGTCAGAGCTGGCATGAGGCCTCTGCAGTACCTGTGTGGGAAGATCCGAGGCTGAAGGGAAAGCCAGGGCTGAGGGGACAGAAGTGGGGGCAGCTGGTGCCATGACCCATCAGTGTCCCATGGACTATCCCAAGGCAACTGACTTCTCCTTACTATCTCCTATCTGATCTCAAGTCCTAAATTGTGGAGAACCAGGCCCTCAGAGAGGCTGCTGTGGCCGGTAAAACAGGGGCTAGGCTGGCTGCTTTCAAAGAGGAGGGCGGCGGGGATATGAAGAGCTAAAGAAGCTTTTGGACTGTCCCAGAGACAGAACAAGCCCCTCACACAGGTTTTTTCTTTAGTGACCCCATTCCGCCCCATGGATGTCACTTTTTTTTTTTCTTTTTTCTTTTCCTTGTTCCTTTTCTTTTTCGGCGCTTTCTGGGAGGGGGAGCAAAGCGAGGGAGGTGGGAAGAGACTTTTTTTCACATGAGTCCTCAGAATTACAGTTCACAAACTATTCAGTAAACTGACCGGCCTCAACCTCCCCTTCAACGGCCTAATCTAAGGGGTGGATCTATGTGTTTTGTTGCTTGTCAGAAACAATCGCGGCGCGGCCCATTACATTTACAGCACGTCGCCCTTTAATTGGTGTAACACGCTGAGGCCTGAAAGGAGGAGAGGCCCACAAAGGCGCCGTGAATGAGCCTTGACTCACACAAAAACACTCTGCAGAAGTTCAGAGCCGGCCACTAACAAGGAGGTAGGGAGTTAGTTTGAAAAGGGGGTGAAGTTCAGAAATGTGTCACCTTGAGGAGCGTCCCATCAAAGCAATGGTCGCATTGACAAGCTGCAAAGAAAAAAAGTTAAACCTTCAGCGACATGGACTTGCCTGCAGATGTATTCTTCCACTTGAGGAGGGGCAAGGAGAGAGCCGTCTTTCTTTCTCTTCTCCTTTGCCCGCCCTGTGCTCTCTGCTCCCCTTATTTACTTCAGAGAGCCTTCAAAAAGTCGGAGCCCAAAAGATTTACCTTCTACTCTCCTGCTAAAATACACTATTTAAGAACAAACATATTTAAAAACCAGGCAGAACGAGGCTGGTTTAGGCTGCCGCGGCTGATTTCTGCCTCTGTGGGAACCGAGATTATCCTGCCCTCCTGTCTCCCACCTCCCCCACGTTCCAGGGCCGTTCCCTGCTCCTGGGCTGCGTGTTGCGACCTAGGCCCGTGCACAGGAGACCCTGAAGAAGCTGCACCCGAGCGCAATGAAGACGAGGGTAAGCGCGCCATGTGGACGCCTTTGCATCAGGTGAGTCCTAAGTGCGCACGTCCCACGCCTCACCAGGGGGAGTCCCTGTTTCCGTCCTCTGGCTGAGTGCCTGCAGGAAAGGCCCCGCCCTGGCAGAGCGGGGGTTTCCGCGCTTCAGTTACAGAATTGGGCATCCCTAAAAGAAAAAATGAGCGTGCAAGGGCCACGATTGAAGGTGGGGGAGTAGTTGGCACTTTCCATTCCCCTTTCCTCCAGGGGGGTGGGCTCGCCCCGTCACCTCTCACCCCCTTCTCGTTTAGGATGCCAGGAATTCGCCCACTCTCGGTGGAGGCCACAAGGCCGGCCTCGCTAGGCCCCCTCTCTGCTGCCCAACCCTCGCCTGCCTTCCTTCGAGGGGGCTACCGAGTCTCCCGCGCCAGGGTGGACACCTCCACTCCCCCTTGCCCCCGGGGACGCACCGAGCGCCTGCACCCTCCTCGGCTCGCCCCCTCCCGGCCTTTGTGTGGTGCGGGACCCCGGCCCGCCGCCCCTGTGAACCGCCTGCCCCGCGCGGAGGCGGGGGCACTTTTCAATGCCTCGCCGCAGCTCCCTCCAGATTTGTAATCCGCCAAAAAGCCGCTGATTGCTGCAATCGTTACTTTTCATTAAAAAAACTTAGAAGCAATTTGGGAGAACTCTTCTCAATGAATACATTTACCCCCGAACGGTCTTTATTCTCCGCCTCCACTTGATGAGTTTCTGTGGCACGAATCCGTTCTTACAGGCACAGAATGGGCAATCCCTTGATCCCCGTCAATTGTCATCCCGAGTCGGGGCCACTTTGACCGCCAATAGCGGGGAAGTCAGAGCTAATCCTCAGAAGGAATCACGGGAAAAGAAAAGCAACAATAACCAAGTCAAGCGTAAAAAATGAAAGAGAAATCTCTATTATCACTCACTACATTTCCCAGCTATGTACTGAAAAAATCAGCTCGCTTGTCATTCGAGTCAGACACCCGCACAAGAATATGGGGTCGTGGTGGGTTGGTAGACTCACACGACGTAAGGAGCGATGTTTGAGAGCGAAGGGCCCCTCTTCTGCCTCTGCCAAATCCCCCTCGCATCCGCCATAACCATTAAATACAGACTGACTTTATTCTGTGGGGAGGCCCGGGGGTGTGTGGGGAGGGAGCCCCAGCTGTGCACCGACACACACAAATCCCCTGGGGAGGGAGGGGGCGGGCGCGGACTATCGGGAATCGCCCCCTCCCCTCTGCCAGGCGGTGCGGGCCTCGAACCACGCCTGGGTCCCCGCAAGGCCAACGCCTAGCGCAGGAAGCCGCCGCTGGGCGCCGGGGCGGGACCGGGCACCGCGAGACCCTCGAGTGTGCAAACACTGCCACTTTCCACGCTGACGCCTACGATTATCTGACCCAGGCCGCTATCCCTGTCTGCCGCAGCCCAGTGAGGGGCAAGTTCGTTCTCCAGAGGCCGGCGTCAAGCGGGGCACCGGGGCCCAGTCCAGGCTTGGCACCGGGGTCTCCGGGCGGTGTCGCCCCCGGCTGCGCCACCCTCTTTCCCTTCCTCTCCGAGGACCTGAAGCCCAGGCCGACTGTCTCCTGCCTTTCCGGGCCCATTTCTCTCGTTACGCTAAAAGGCCCACCTTGGGGTGCCTGTGTGGTTACTTTCATTTTCCCCTCGGTGGGTCGAGGAACCTCCCCGGCCCAAAGGTGAAGCTACTTTTCCGGCTGCCCCAGGTGGCTCAGGGCCATGTGTGGCAGAGGGCGTTTTCCTTCCTTTCAGGCTCCCGCCAGGTCCCCTCAGGCGCTTCGGGGTGCTCGGGCCCCGCCCAGATCCCACCTCACCCTGCACCCGCAGGGTGAGGCCTGCTGGCTTTCTGCCTCTGAGGAACCTCTTAGGCCTGTCACCCTCCCGCCCACTTCGAGCCACAGCCACAGCGGCACACCATATCGAAAGTGTATACATCACATACACGACATCCCATTTACACCAACCTTCACACACGTGTGTGCACATGCAGAGAAAACACCGTACAAGCTTATGAAACATTCACACTTCACCCGCACGCAAATGCACACCCACACATTTCTGCACACACAGGCTCACGTCCTGCACATGCCCGCGCTACCAGGGCACAAACACATGCCCTTGGGTGCCCATGGACTGGCTCTGCCCAGAATGGCAGACAGACAGAGGGGACTAGCGGGAGTCACTTGGGTGGTGGTCACAGACTCAGGACCTGGGACCTTGAGCTTCCTTTGGGGCCTGGGCTGCTCGCACACCCTTCACTAAGAAGGCGCTGCACGGAGCTCGCCTCCCAGGGCCTTGACGATCAAACCAGACGGAAGCCCAAGGTGGACCAGGCGGTGGGATCCGCTCAGTGAGACGCCAACACTTGCCCACGTGCCCCCTAGGGGATGCATAGGACACTCTCCAGTGGGGTGGGGTGGGCAGGGAAAGAGGGGGTGCGACCCCAGTGACCCCCATCCCTGCACAGGTTGGGAACTCAGCCAAGAAGGATGGGGAGGGCGAGTGTGATAATTGCCATCTACAAAGCCAGTGAGAGCTTTCAGTCCTGCCCCAGATTTACATAAACGGAATCTAGCTTGGTCCACAGTCTGGAAAGGGTGCTTGCAGAGAGGGCGACATTCTGCAATCCTAATTAGTGATTTTTGTCCCCTTGTTACTGGGCTCAGCATCTCATGCAAATGAACTCTTCATTTCAGCCACATTACCCGGCTCCAGAATTAACTGACTCTTATCTTTAATGATATGCTGCTGAAGTTCTCTGAGCCTGGCTAGCTTTTTATCTTGATTACTCTAATCAATAAGAAATGATAGAGTAGAATTATAAACTCTATTGGCTTTTAAATGTTGCCGACAAGCCCTCTAGATGCCATTCCTGTTCATTGTTATTTATTAAAATGATCCTCAGCTTAACAGCAGATGCAAATAGATGAACAAGGAGAATTAGCCTTGGGAATCATCCCAGCCAGGCCCCGACACTCCCACCACCACCACACACCGTGCTAGGGAAGATTCCTCCCTGTTTAGGCTTGAGGAAGTGAAAAAAATAAAAAAGGCATAGAAAGAAAATTGCTCTTTTGAAGTTGCCAGAGAAACAGAAAACAAATTAAGAACCACCAGACCCACACCCTGTCCAGACAGTCTTCAAGGTAGAAGCTTTGAAAGAAAAAAAGGGCACTTTGAAACACACACACACACACACACACACACACACAAACACACACACCCAGATAAGGTGCCTTCCATCTCTCCACCCTCCCTCCACAACCTTCACTTTCTGTGTACCAGTAGCTCTAGACTTTTGTGTATATATAGATGTATGTATGTATAATTTCAGGCAGTTAGATCTCAGGAAATGCTACTTCCCCATCTACTTCTCCTGGGAGAATAGTGGGGTTGAGTCCCTTCAGTTCTGTGGAGGATACTTTCGACTCTAGTTGGTCGGTGGTGGGTGGTGGCTGGCCAAGGTGCCCAAGAGCCTCATATTGGGTTTGTGGACATCTAGCACTAGAGGCTTTGAGACCCAGAACCCATCCCTCCCACAGAGAGCAGCCCATGGCCCACAGCAGCCCAAGATCCCAACCCTACAGTTGTTGGCCTCACAGGCCCAATTGGAGCGGTAAATTCCTCTCTTTCCCCAGAAGCCAAAACAAAAACAAAAACAAAGCAGGATGCAGAGTATTTCTTCTTTCCTTGATCCGCTGAGAGTAAAAAGTGTTTGTTATTGTGAGACACATCCAAAGAGAACGGAGACAAACCCTCTCACCCTCTACCGGTGGTACCCATCTCCCAGCTAATGAGGCAGTTTTGTCCCAGGTAGAGGAGGAGCTTTCAGAGCATGCCTGAGGTCGGGGGCTGATGCGTACACTGACACTGATCACAGTCACGCACGAATTTCTCTGGTACCAGCGGAAAGTCAATGAACACCTGTTCGGGCCTACTCTGCACCAAGCACTGTCAGAGTACAGGCCAGGCACGGGGACCTTTTGCTCGCTTGACCCTCTGGCCTTTCAAGGCTTTGAGAATCCCAGGCGTCCTAAGTCCCACAAGCGCTCGAGCAGGAGGCCGGCGCAACGGGGAGGGCGGGGAGGGGGGCGCACGAGGCCCACCCAGACGCTCGGGCCCAGCCCCACTGCCCGCTTCCTGGCCACCGGTTCCCAGGCGGCCCTGAGGCCCGCTCCAGCCTGGTAGCTGGGAAATCCGTTCTTTTCCCTCATCACCCCCACCGGGGCACAGCCCAGGGAGCAGTTGGCACTCGGGCCTTGACAGGTGGGGAGGTTGCGCGCTGTTCCCCAAGGCGCCTGGCCGCGGAGCTGGAACCCGCGGGAACTTGAGGGCGGACGAAGCGCTGGCGAGGCCTGAGCGTGGGAGCCCAGGAGTCCAGAAGGCGAACTCAGGCCTCGCCAGGGCAGCGGCCCATCGAGGATGGAGGAGTTGGAAATCGCCCGCAAGCTAAGCTTTTTTTTTTTTAATGACACATGGGGGAAGGGCTGAATGTATCAAAATCATGTACAATTTCTGTTCTTAGCAACATCCTTGTTATTAGGAATGATGACTAAACCGCCAGGATTATTCTGGACTGTAAGTTATCAAGAGCCCACTAATTTCACATTAAAGCCCATTGACTGCAACGGCGTGATTGAAGGGTTTTTAACAATTAACATAATCAGAAAATGAGCTGAGATAATTTTTATTCAACTCATTACTTTTTAATCATGTATTTCTTTTAATTAATATCTTCTCCGTGAACATAACACAAAGCGGAGCCCCAGTGCTGGCCCAAACCAGCCTGTGGGGCTGAATTTGACACAGCCAAACATTTCACCAGCCGCATTCATTGCATCTCTATTGTGGTGTGGGTGAAAGAGAAAAATGTTGTCCAAAAGTCACCATGTTGTTTTGAAACACAATTTAGCGGCGGGGGGGGGGGGCACGTCGGGAGCGCTCAAGCCATACGTTTTTAATTTAACTTGACTTTTATATTTGGGCGCCTTTCTTGGTTTGCAGCCAGAGGGATACAAGTGGGAAGAAACAAACAGGAAGAGGAACAAGAAAAGGCTTTTGGAGATGCATGCCTGGTCCTGGCTGCTCCAGCCAGGTACTGGGGCCGCTGGTGGAAGGTTGCAGGTGCAGACCTTGGCAGTGGAGTCCTGACCTCGAGAACCGACAATCCATCTGGCTGAGGCTCGGTCGGGGCTGAGGAGTTCGGGCCCTTCCACCACCTCTACCCCACCTTCTGGCCTGCGACCCAGGGGGCCAAGTCCCTCTGCTCCCCAACCTGCCCGGAAGTGGGCGCGACGTGTGGGCCTTTTTTCAGTGAAATGTCCTGGTCTACCGTTCAAGCCACCGTGGACACCGCCCAGATATTTGCCCTGATCTCACCTGACCGCCCGATAACATTTCCTGGTATCCCCAATCCAGAGACTCAAATACTAAATGTGGGACGGAGAACTTGGGCATTTGTGGTGCCGCACAGGGCCCAGCCTCCCCGTTGGCGGCCCCCATGTGCAAGTCTCTGATCCTGTGCGCTGACCAGGACCCATCTTTGACACCTCCCAGTAAAAGGCTGTTTGTGAAATAAAATCTCTCGCAGTATGGGAGCCTCATCAGCTTCGGAAAAAAGAAACAAAGCCGACCCCTGGTGGAAGAAAACGAAAGTTTAAGAATTTAAGGTTTAGGGATTCATAGCCATAGGTCTGCACAAGGGAGAGGAGAAAGA